AGAAAAAAGGTTTGTATACTTTACCATTATCCATAGGTGATGTATCAAAGCCAATACTGAGCGAAGGAGGTGGAGGGGGAGGTGGAAGGATTTCGTTATAACTTTTTCGAGAATTTTGAGGCTTTAATTTTTCAACAATATTTTCTTGAGTCATGGTGTGATTTATTTTATGATTTCCAGAACGTATCTAAAAAAATTAAAAATAAAATTTAATTTATACTTATTCAAAAACAAAGGGTAAGAGTAAAAATAATAATAATAATTACCTTCTGTTCGTGTTGCAGCCAAAGATCCTCTTCGTAATAATATAATCCATCGTTAATAACTTGTTCCAATTCTTGACTCATTTTAACTCTGGACGTCCATTTGGCTGTTCTATCGTGACCTTCGTGTTTAGGAGGTCTATTCGATTGATAATTTTGTGTTACAATCAGCAATTTGTCTATCTGATCATCTGACAATTCGTAGTCTTCGTCATCATCGGACCTGAAAACAACAATGAACCCGCCGTGAATATTTGTAAGAGTAGAGTTGTCAGGTTTCAAATTGTTTTAATACCTGAATAATCCGGGATAAAATTCTATCTACAAAAATTAATTTCAAATTTATTTATAATCAAAAGCAAAAATAATAATAAAAAAAAAATTATTAAAAAATTATTTTATTCATTTTTTCGAAATGCAAAACTCAAGTCAGTCGAGTTATTAACTAAATAAAATTATTTTCTTTACTTTTTTTTATATAATAAGCTCGTATTTAATGCGATAATTTTTTTTTTAAAAATAATTTATTAATTAAACAATAAAGAATTTTTTTTCGATGTCGATCGATATATATATTCAAATAACATAATTAAAAAAGTTATTTTTACACAAATAATTTTAAATAATTATTTTTTATTTTTAATTAAAATCTACTTTACGTTTACAAAAAAAAAATTTCTTTTTTTCTTTGTTTTTCGATTGGTATTTAAAAACTATTCTTGTCATTAATGTCAAAAAAAAAATTATTATTATTATTTAAGATTTACTATCGATTATAAATTATTAGCAAAAAAAAAAAAAAAAAAAACAAAATAAATTTAAAATTTAATTAAACATTTAACGAAACAATAATAATAATAACGTGTATTTTAATTACAAATAAAATAAAATAAAAAAAAAAAAAAAAAAAAGAAAAAGTAAATATTTAAGAAAACGAAGATAAATTAAATTTGTCATTTTATTTTATTAAACAAAAAATAAGTTTACTTAGTTTTATTTCCTTAAAGAAAATAAAAAAAATTCATGAAATAACATGCAGAGTTCATTATTAACAGTGTCAACATGCAATTAAAATAATAAAAGAATTTTTCTTTTTTTTTTTGTGTGTTAGCTTTCGTTAAATATTAACGAGTTTTTTTTTTTTTTTTTTTTTTAAAGAAGCAAAAATAAACATATATATATATATGTACATACATAAACATAAAGAAAATTTGATGGAGTTTAACGGTCACAGGTATTTATAACGATGCAATCAAGTCATCACCACATACCACCACACACTATATACGATCATCACACATTATTTTTTAACACTAAATACAACAACAATATTTTTTCGGTTGAATCAGGTCAGTTATATATATATCCATACATATATTTAACATCAAATAAACATGTGACATATTGATATTGAACAGAAGAATTAATAAAAAAAAAAAAAATAATAAAAAAAATAATCAATTTCGCTCTTGAGGTCTTACCAATCCGTGAATGTGTTATGACGTCCCTGAGGAAGTTGCAAATCTTCGTCGAATTGAAAATCCAATTCCTCTTTTTCATTTTCACTTCGGGTAAATTTTTTTTTAACATCTTCGTGATTTTTTTCCCGAGGAGGTTTGACTTTTTTTTTAACCTGATAATTTTATTCCGTTTAATTTATTTATTTTTTTTTTTTTTATTAAATAAAATTTTAAAAATAAAAAATTTTGTTAAAAATTACCTCGAACCATTGTTCTTCTTCTGCTTCCGCTTCCGTTTTCATCGATGAAAATAACGTTTCTTTTCTACTTGACGAATTCGTTTCATCGACGTTTTTATCACTATTATTATTGCCTTTAATTGATTTTTTAACTTCGTTTTGTTTTCCTTTATTTATTTTATTTTCTATTTTTGATTTCATTTCTTTTTTTTCCGATTCTCGAACTGAAAAGAAATCTTTTATTTATTATTTTTCGCATTTTTTATTATTGGATTTTGTAAGCAAATTTTGCACCAGAATAAATCACATAAATAAATTTTTTCTGGGAATAATTTGCCGAGTAATTTTAGGCATTTTAAATTAAATAAGAAAATTAACATAAAGCTAAACTTCTCAGTGCTAATGCCTACTGCTCAATAATAATAATAATAATAATTAAACATTTTTAGAAAAAAAAAAAAAAGAAATTTCTTATTACCTTCTCCATTTTCTAATATTTCTTCACCATCTGAGAGATCACCATTTGTTGCATTCACGTGATTTACAGGCACGAACTCAGGAACGTTTGGATTTAAATTTTCGTACTGACTTTTATTGATATTAGAGGGTTGAAAAAAGGGAGAATCGGGGAGAAAGGATGGCAAAGGAGAAAATGTGTGAATTAACGGAGGCGGAGGTATCATAATGATCGGATTGGAAGACTCGTTTCCGGGAATTTGTGTCACTTTATCGGGTATGGGCCACCTCGTAGTTCAGTCTTGGTTCGAACTATAA